GAAGAAGAAGAAGAGTTCCCGCATTGTTCATTTCCTGGAGGATTGTTGAGTATTTATTCCCCCGGAGAAATATTGTGATCGGAAGTCAATGACTACGAAGAACTTGGTGGATCCTTCCTGGCGTCTTCTGGCAGCGAGCGGTGGAGATACGGTCAAGCTATTCGACGTGTCCGCCGGCGGCGCCGAGTCTGGTGATCCCTGCGTTTTGAGCTATACTCCGACGCCTGGCTCTGCCGTCAATTCCGTGAAGTGGAACCATACGAGTAAGTAGCCCTAGATTCTCCCTTTTTTCTGGACTGTTCATTTCCCATGGTTGGTGAGAGATTATGACAGTGAGCGAGGCAGTAGGACCTTATTTCATGGTTGATTTTAGGCTTTGTAATAGTATAATCGTTGAGAAGAAGCAGAACCTAAATCCCCTCGCATTTTTTGTTCAAATTGAGCTTCGATGTCGAATTGGTGTGCACTTAGAGATTGTGCTGAATTCAGTGGCTTGAATTTTAACTCGTTATGTCTGTTTACACTTCCCTGAGGTTGAATTTTTTTATTCTAATTGATTTTTTCTGGTACTAACGTTAATGCTTGTTTGAGAACATCTGCATTTAGTGGAAGGAGAATCTTCATTCGTTTTACTCTCTATGTGTTCAAGCTATGCCTTGTTTGGAATGCAGATATGGTTGTAGCGAGTGTGGGAGAAGATAAGAAGATATCTCTGTGGCAGAAAAATGGGAAAACCTTAGGAACAGTTCCGCTTACTGGGAAGAACAGCAGTGATATTACTGAGGTTACTACTTTTCTAGATTATTTTTTTTTTGGTCATGAGATTCTGATTTGGATTTCTATATCCTGTATCTCTTTGTCAACAGCTACAACAGTCATTTCAATACCATTGTGGTACACTTCCATTTGTAAACGATATTAATCAATGTCTATTTGCGTGGCGTAAATATAATTCAGGAATGTTTATCGGCCATTAGCTTCAGCAACAAAGGGTCTCGGTATATATGTTCTGGAGGAGCTGGTCAAACTGTAAGGATATGGGATCTGCAAAGAAAGCTCTGTATTAAAAACTTGAGGGGTCATACAAGTACAATAACGGGTGTGATGTACAATTGCAAAGATGAGCATTTGGCTTCTATCAGTGTTGGTGGGGATCTGATAGTCCATAACCTTGCCTCTGGTTCAAGAGCTGCTGAACTCAAAGATCCAAACGGCCAGGTTGTTTGGTTAGTACATGCATGCTTTCATTTATAGTTGAGAGCCTTTGTTCGTCAAATTAATTGGTTTTCTCATCCGTTCAAGACCAGGTATTGAAGGTTCTCGATTATTCAAGGTTCAGTCGACACCTTCTACTTACTGCAGGTGATGATGGGACTGTCCATCTCTGGGACACAACTGGTCGTAACCCAAAGGTTTGCTCTTTTGTCCCCCTCTTGTTAACAAGAATGAGTTAAAGCTTTCCAGTTATGGAACGAATTTTGCTGAGATTCCTATTCTTCATGATTGGGCACTATTGTTGTCTTCTTTTAATGGTAGAAAACTACATGACATTTACATCTTCTGAATACTTTAGTACATTATATTTACCGTGATACAAGATTATTAAATTCAGCATATTTACAAAAGCCAGAAGACGTATGTTATTTCCTTTGTTCCTTCACCTACCTTTTTTTTGCTGAATAATTACTCCGTAAGATGTTTAAAGTCTATATTTATGACAATGCAATTTCATTTCCACAGATTTCCTGGTTGAAGCAGCATTCTGCACCAACTGCTGGTGTTTGTTTCTCTCCATCAAATGACAAGGTTACTGAATTCTTATGAATGGTCTAGTTACTTATACATGATCAATTTATTTGTGAATTATACTCTGCATATTCTTGTACATATGCATATAACACCCACAAAGTCACGACTTATATGATCTTCTCCAATGCTCTTTCTTATGGAATTTATCTACGGTTTGACAGATAATTGCTAGTGTGGGGCTGGACAAAAAGCTTTACACTTACGACTCTGGATCAAGAAGACCTTCGTCCTGCATTTCATACGAAACACCTTTCTCTTCTTTGGCGTTTGGGGATAATGGACACATACTGGCAGCTGGAACCGGTAATGGTAGAATAGTATTCTATGACCTACGTGGAAAACCGCAACCTATCACTGTCCTGCATGCGTACAGTAATTCAGAGGTCAATACTTTTTTTTCCCCTTATGTTCAATCCTTCAAGCATCTCTTCACTGTTTACTATGGTAAAATAAATGCCACAATTGCACTTATCAATGTTATAACACTCCACAATTGCAACAAAAACTCTGTTTTTTGGTAAGATGATATATATTCTAAGCTTTCTACTTCAGATTGCAAAGCAAACTAAGCTTCTGCTTTTCTTGATCAGGCTGTTACAAGTTTATCCTGGCAAACATCAAAACCAGTTATTGTGAATGAAAGAAACTGCACTCCTGAGATGGCTCTTTTTGGTGGTACTGTGGAAGACTCAGTTGTCATTCCAGACCCCTTTCCCTCAACAACATCCTTAGCTTCACATTCCACTGTGGTGCCAGGTTCTCATGGAGTTGCCACTAGTACGGTGAATCTATCATCAGCAGAAGAAACACCGAATAGAAATCATCTATGGCCTGGTGGACCACTGACCAGGCTACATCCACACCGTGCCAGTGATAGTTTTAAAGATGATATGGACATATTTTCCCCTATCGTTGGCATGCCATCTGTTGAGAAATGGCCTGATACCGAAGGATTGAAAAGGGATCATTTTGTTCTTGATAAGAAGATTTCCTCCTTGCCATTTCCTTCATCAAGCAAAGCAGGGTTTCCGTTTGGGGATGACGAAAACAAAGAGCACCCAATAAATGACTGGAAACTGAGTTCTACTTCTAAACAAGTTTGTGTTGCTCAACTTCTTTTCTCAAATTTAAAACGTCATTTAAGCCTCAAAGTATTGTATTGTTTTGTGGAATTGCTATGGCCAGATTCAATTTGGCTCCATCATGCTTGTTAGTAGAGACGTTAATATCCTCTACTATTAAACCCTCTCGTTGGTTAATCAGTGTTTTAATCTCTGCTCCTCAAATACAGGATGACACAAGAAATGCCTTTTCGCCTTTTGAATCCACGCCCACAGCATCATCAAAGAGCGAATACTCTACTCTGACACCTCCGGAAGACTGGGGTGGTGAGAAGTTTACCCACTTGGCTGCTAATGATATGTTTTCTGATAAATTCAGCCACCTGAATCCGCCTTTGCGTTTCGGGGTTTCCAGCTCAAATGCTAGTACATCTGGATCAATGTTTTCTAGTTCCAGAGATTTCCCTTTGTTGCTTGGTCAGAATCAGACTAGCTTTGCAAACGTTAGCATGAGCTCAGAATTTCCAGGCATAAGAGAGTTCTCTTCAAAATTTGAAAAATCCTCAGCACTTGCAGACAATTTCCCATCCAGCCCGTTGTTAACCAAAGGCACTGCAGCTACGGGGAACATTGATTCATTGGGGTTATCACCGAGTTTTACTCGTAGGTTCTCTACTTATGCTGAGAGAATTAGAACCATATCTTCCTTCAGCGATGGGGCCTTTCTCTCTTCCGGTTCCCCTAAGATAAAGAAAACAGGAGCCGAAACCAGAGAAGAAGTTTTGAATAATCTGTTGCAAAGACCTGAGCAAGCGGCTGCAACAGATGCGGGAGCTCTTTCAGTTATGAATGTATAAAATTCCACAAAGTTCACAAAACCATTTTATTCTTGATTGATCTCGTTCAATTATCAATAACTTTACAGGGAATTGTGTACCAGGGAGGAGGAAGCTTGCAACAGTCAAAGCAATCTGAAACTGATTCACAGCGAGGTAACAATTTCACGCTTCAGCTATTTCAAAGAACGCTCGAAGGAACTCTCGATACTTTCAAGAACTCGATCCATGACGACATGAGAAACCTGCACATTGAGATCCTGAGACAATTCCATATGCATGAGGTAATGTTTGTATGTTTAAATTATTTAATTAGTAGTATCTTCAAAATGTTTTTTTTTTTTCTTAAATGATGAGTTCTGGTGAACAGATGGAGATGTCAAAGGCGTTAAACTCGGTACTGGAGAACCAAACAGAGCTCATGGAAGAGATTAAGATGTTACGGAAAGAGAACCAACAGCTCCGGCAAATGCTTTAGAGAGAGGTATGAGTCTGACAATTTGCGGCTAATTGTATTCGAATAGAATAGTGTCTTAGGCCCTAGATATGAGGAATGGAATTAAGCAGATCATAGAAATGCTTTACTGAATCGTCGTCACAGAGACTTTTCAATATCAATCCTTTCCAAACTAGAATTTGTTACAATTTGGGATTTTTAGGATTGTTATTGACATCTCAAAGCCCTTATTTTCAGATTACAACGAAGAGAGTTTTTCGCACATGAGAAAAACACACTGCTCACAACGGATATTGAATATATAATTGTTTCCTCATTTTCTGACCAATCTCAGAACATCACCCACAAGTTGTAACGAACCTGTTACCAGAACCTGCTTTGATCAAACACTACACAATGTCATAAAAGCTCCTTTGGTTCGCTCGGCTGAAATATATAATGTAGAGAAAAGGTTTTTGGTGTTTACCTGGAATCGTGTGGATGAACGATTCTGATCAACCAGTGTCCCTGAGCCACTTGATTGCCAATGGCAGAGACGAAAACACCTCACTCTTTCCTCCATCTTCTTCTTCCCCAACAAGGCTTTCCCACGCTTTTTGGACCGCGTACTGCCACGACAAATCAACCACCCATGCATCATCATTGTTCTCTAGCAAAGCATTCATACCAGCCTTGTAAGACATCGACATGTTTGGCACGAACAAGGCTTTCTCGAAATCAACACCTACAAGAAACATAACATCCTCTCCAAGTCTTAACTACTATTTCTTTCATTCCTTAAGAAACGAAGATGTATGTAACATACGTACCGTACTTAGCACATGTATTCCTTAGGTGTGGGAAAAGCGTTTGCGGGTCCCGAACCGACGTACAATTGAACAGCAATATCTACAATATCAAGATGGTCTAATGAGGCAATTTCTGCAAATTGGGTAATGAGAGAAGAACAGAACAATCCCTACCTGTTGACAGGTTTCTCCGGCCCATTTCATAAGAGGATCCTTTAACCTCAGACTGTTCATCTCCCACTAATACAGCAAGAGAAAACCATTTTGCACATGCTTCCATGCTTTCAGGAGTGTGAGCTCCATCAAGATAAAATACCAGCTTTCCTGGATCACCATATAGATCGGGGACGACTTGTCCCCGTCCTTGCAAACTAGCTGTAGCTAAACCTTTGATGAACGGCTCAGGCAGTGTAGTCTAAGCCAAAAAAGAAGAAAGAGGTTGAGAAATTCATAGACGAACAAAGAATGCATGAAAGGAGCTTACCATCTGATGCAGACTAGGTATTTCAAGGTTACCACTTTGCTGAAGCCATGTATAGGCAAGTGAGACTGCTAAACCAGCATTGAGATACTGATGCTCCCCGTCAAGACCGAGTTTATGGCCATTCAAAAGCCTTTTGTTTAATGGTTGTACCACTTTCATATTCACCTGTCAATCAAATTTTCAAGCTTCTTTACAAATACACAACTACTTTCTTATTGACAGTCAGGCACTTATTTTTGTGGATGCAACACACTTTGTTTAGTTCCTAGATTGAGAGTACATCTAGAAAATGTTGAGCAAGCATGCAAACTCTGAATCTATTATAGGCAAGTAACTCCTAATCAAGCATGTAGCTTGTTGGTTAGGGTTCAGCAGTCAGAACTTGAACTTACATCTAACTCAGAAGCTTTATCTTCAAGGACACGCATAGCTTCGTCAGGTTGGGGCACTGTAAAAGCAGGAACTCCAAGCTGAAAGATGAAGCAATTATGGAGAGTAAGACTTAGTCACAAAAAGGAATGACCCCCCTCTTATCTTATATAGAAGTTGTAGATACCTTGAAAATTCCTGCCTTCATACCAGCAATTTTGTCAAGCGTATCTCCTGTTATGTATCGAGGAGATACGCTTGTAAGAGATGTAGAGACATAGAAACTCCGATAATGTTTTTGAAGCAACACTGATCTGGCCATGTAAGAGAAGATAACTAACCTAGAATTTCCGTATGGTCATATCCAAGAGAAGAAAAACCACATACCACAGGTTTCTGAACCTGAATCATGGCAGTAGTGAACGCGTAATGCTTCTTGTCTACTCTAGCCAGAGATGCTTTATATAAAAACGTTAGGCACAAGAAATAAAGAATACTTCATGGACATACCACATTGGTGGAATCATACTTCCCACCTAAACCTACCTCCAGAATAACAACATCTACCTGCATATCAATAAGAAGCAAACTTTATATACCAGAAAGAAAAAAAGGACAAAAATGATTCTGCATCTCAATAATAACCGTAAATATTAGCACCAAACCTTCTCTGCAGCAAATATTTTAAGACTTAGCGACGTAAGGAAAAGGAAATATGATGGCATCTCACTATTAGTTGCTTCCTGAAAATCAAATAACCAACAATACTGTCAAGAACTCCATTTCTGGCACATGTTTTGTTGAGAGTTTGCAAATTTACAGGTCATTAGAGACTGAGAATACACCAGATATGTGAAGGTATTCAACAAGCATACCTTAAACCTATTATAGCACCACCAGAAATAGGCCAAGAATTTCTCCACACTTATGTCCACACTGCGTCGATAGAAGAATGAAAATGGATCATCACTTTTAAAGCCTGGTTTTGCAACCTTATTTCTCTAACGTACCCATCCACGCGAAACCTTTCACGGACATCAATGAGGTGAGGTGAAGTTAAGAGTCCAGTTCGGAAGCCATAGTTTCGCAAAATAGACTCTGTGAAGGTGCATGTAGATCCCTTTGAGTCCACAAGAGAGAATGAGATCAGATTATGATGATTAGGCATGCATGGAAACAACTTCAACTTTTCATCAACCATCAGCTAGCTAATGCAGAGTATTCAGAGGAACATTACAAGTATATATGGTAAGAGCAATTTCATGATAAAAAAACAGAACAAGAAATAAAGATGACACATTTCTTGTACCTTGCCTTTGGTTCCGGCTACATGTATAATTTTCATCTTCGAAAGGTCTTCTTCCAGGCCAAGTATCTGCTTTATGCGTTAGTAAGCAAGAGACTGAAAAAAACAAAAGCAAGCATAGGAAAGAATATTCAATCAAATGTAAAAGTTGTAACCTTGACATAATCAAACATCAAATCGAACTGTTGGCAACTCTCTCCACTACTTCGCCTTGGGATCAAAGATGACAACACACCAAGCCCTTCCTCGTATGGATCACCACTTGCTTTTTGATTCGAAACTCCATACTCACCTTAAAAAGAACTTTTTTTATTATT